TTTTTTCCTCCAGATTCCTTATCTTACATCTGTATACAACAAAGCTCATTTATGACCTTCTTGACCACTTATTCAGGCTAGTGAGGTCTTTCAGGAGTTGGTCGCCATCGGTACTGAATTTCACTATCCAAAGGAGCTTACTATCAGCTAAGAACTTGGAGATTTCAGTATTCACTACCTTTTATAGATCATTAAAGATAGAGTAAAATTGGTCCAAGCACTCATCCATGGAGCACCCTACTTTTGAGTTTTCTTCATGGTAAAAATCCATTAAACCCTATCCTTTGTTTTCTGTTATCTAATCAGCTTTCAGTCCATAAAAACTTCTTTTCAGTCCCATGACAACTTTGTTTAATAACATGGCTGTGGAATGTTACTGGAAGGCTTTTGGAGAACTTCCACATATTCATACCCTCTGTATTTACATGCGTGCTGACAGCTTCATGGAATTAGAGAAAACTAGTCAGACAGGATTTCCCATTGTAGAAACCCTGCTTGCTTCCACAATGTTCTTTATCTGCATGCTCAGTCTTCATTTTACCATCTTGCCTGGGACAGCAATCGGCCTTCCCAATCTATAGTTCCAGAGGCCATTTTATAGATGGCTTTTTCCATATAACTGTTTCTAGATTTATGGAGAGTAAAAGAGCTATCTATGGGTATCTTTATCTAAGAAAAAAAAAAAAAAAAATTTTTAGAATATCCTGTCAACATGCTCAGAAGCCCTGGTTCCTAATATAGGTTAAGAGTTAAATGGAATCAGTGGCTTGGGTTTGAAATTTTGGAAAGTTTTACCTAAGCTGGAATTTTTACAAAAAAACCCCAAATCAAAACAGTAATAAAAATTACATTCCTCTTGTATTGTTTTCTTAGATTGGACACCTATTGATATCTTGTCCTCTTTTCATCTTTTCTGAGCAGGGAGCGCTTTTACCAATCAGATTCCAGGCACAGAAGCCTATAAACGAGGGATGTCATAGTCTTATAGTGATATAATGCGTGGCAGTTCATCTTTATAAGCACCCATTTTCACCTCTACAACCTTGGTGAAAGCTGTAATCACTGGCATTTTAAAAATTTCCTACATAGCTGAGTAAGAGGCTATATAGGCTTCAGTCAACACCTCATCCTCTACTCTGTAAACCAATCGATGATTTGCTTCATTGAGATTTTTACGTGTGGCATGTTGATCACAATTTGGAAGTAGATTCTACATCCTAAGTCACAGGCTTAGACTGCGTAGTTCAATTGTAACAAATAGACATCTTCTCAAAAATTATTTACCTGAGTAATTCAGTTTTGCTGTCAGATGTTACACAAAATAGGGTATCTTTAAAATTTTAGTAGAAAAGTTACAAATGTTAAGTTTATGCAAATTAGCATGAACAGTTTTGACTATAAACCCTATTACTTAATTAATACAGCTTAAAATTGAGTTTAGTCATGTATTTTCTGGAGCTATTTAGAGAATATAAAAATCACTTTAAAAAAAATAGTGTCTTTGCAGTCTAATATGAACTACCATAGGACACACGTTAAGAAAAACTCTTATACTGAAAAACTGCATTGTACAGAATGTGAATAATTATACTGGATATTGCATATTATTACTAATGCTATTTTCCTTTTTTCAGTTAATGAAATATCTCATGGTATCTTAGACAGAAAGAGATTGTTGTTATGTTCCATACAGCATATTAAAATGTTCATTGGTAGAACACTAGCAAGCCTAAATAATCAATTTCCTATATTCATTTAGGTAAATTGGTTGTGTAAAGATTATTTTAATGATGTATATATGCAATTCACCATAAGAATAGTTGCTTAAAATTATTTAAAAGAGAATAATAAAGCTGAACAAAGATTTATGCTGAAATTGTAGCTGCACTTGTAATTGTTCTGTTTCAAATAAATTATTTCACATATTACATAAACTGTATGTCCTAGGGAGCACAGACTGCCTCTAGAGACAGCATGCCAAAAAAGGAGACATAAAAGAAAGCTGGGTAATGTGGAGAAAAGGAGAAAAGCAGTCCTGGCTCCATCTGCTGTCTGCTTTTTCTCTCCATTTTTTTTTTTTTTTTTTTCCTTTTCTTTGGCACCTTATTTTTTAGGGCATTTACGGTAGGTAGGTCTCTATTTCTTGAACACAGACTGATATTTTAGTATACCCTTTTTTCTACTTTTGCCTCCTATTGAGATAGTTTAATTTTGGAAAAAGGTTCTATTTTGTTTTATATCTTCTGCTCACCACTGATAGTTTTGGTCTATATTGTTCCTACGAGACACTACTCAGTTAAGTAAGAACATACTTTTTTTGCCGACATAGAATCAGGTTAATTTTGTGTCTCTCTCCTCTTCTTCATCTGTATTAGTAAATGCTGTAAGGGAGCCCAGGCACATCATTACTCATTCTTACATGTGTGCTCACAGTAGCTTTATCAATGCATAACTGAAAAATCTGCTTCAATTGCTGGCTTTTCATGTCAATTTTTCTCACAGTCTTTGCAAATAGAAGGGTTGTTGGATCAAGGCTAAGTAGAAGAGTCTAGAGGTCTGAAGTGTTACAGTTTGTTCCTGTTCTTGTGTTGAATAGGCTTGATCTTCAGAATCACTTTTGAGGCTGCTCTAATTTGTGCCAAAATCTCAATGGTAAAGACATATTCTTCTGCGTTAACTATGTGCATTATAGCTCAGCTCTCCTTCCAAACTGTTTTTGTCCTTTATTTAGAGTCCTAATAATTATAAATATTTTACTTCAAAGCTGTTATTTACTTGGATGTCCAGTAGACTTCAATGATATTTTTTTTAGTCCACAAATATCAGAATTTCGCATTGACAAGAACTCGATTGGAATTAGTGCAAATACTCCAATTTGGAAAATGTCTGGAAAATTGAAATAACACTTTTGAGTCAATCATTGAGTTCAAGAATTTTTACTGAACTGTGATACTGAAAAGTCATATATCACTGTGCTTCTAAACTGTAGTTCTGTCTCAATAACAGGACCCAATTAAAATTTCCAAATGAAAAATCTGACTGTAGATAGAAGAAATACTGAAAATACAAAGCAAATGCCAAATAATAGGCAAGAATGCAAAGAAGTCTTTAAAAATATTGATCTTTGCATTCTTAGATATAGAAAAAAATAGTACTGAAAGCTCTAGTCATAGATAAACATCGGAAAAACTTACTGTGACTGGAATTGCTAGAAATTAAACTTTATTATAGAGAGGCTTTCTAAAAGTCAATAATTAAAAAAAAATCATTTGTGAAATATGTGTTTTTTCAGATAAGAAAGGACATTTATTCACAAGAATACAGAAATCTCAAATATAATATAAAATTAGTAATGCAGTTAGGCCAAACACTGAAAACTACAATTCATAATTCCTGATGTTTTTGTGACATGAGAGGTAAAACCATTTTTATAGTATGTAAGTCTAGTTCCAGCTTAGATGTCAGAATAAAAAAAATATACATTTGAGTAATCCTACCATTTGAGAAGATAAGGTCAAAAAAACCCCAACAAACCACAGAGCAAACCAAACCAGAAGCAGAGTTGTGGAGATCTTTGATAAATGTCTACTATAACATAAAAAGTGAGTTACTTTTATACAACTTACTGAAGTAGCATGTTTCTGGATTTTTGCAGTCTAGAAACTAATAATTAGACATTCTTTTAAAAGACATCCCATATCAGCAATGATTGAGATTTGAGATAAGTAAGATTTCTTTTAAGGAAGTGGTTATTTGCTGAAAAACATACATTTGGTTGTTCCCAAACTACTTCTGAGTATCAGTTCAAGTGTTTCCAGCTGTAATGGAAGAGTTGGAGTGATACAGCTGTAGAAATCATCAGCTGCCTTTTACTCAACAGGTCTGCCATTAGGGAATCCCTTTTGTTGAAGTTGTTCCATAGGGACTGCTGAATGCTTCAATAGACACAGTTCATGAACAAGATAATTTAAAGAAAAGAAATCTTAAAAATTTAAATTTCATTCAGTTCAAAGTACTTCCTCTTCAATCCCAATCATATACTAAAAAAAGAGTCAATCCTAGAGTTCAGTATTATATTAAATATTGTAAAACATTTATTATTTTTATTTATTATTATTAATTATTACTAACTATTAAATATTATCTGTTACCCAATTTTAGGTAAGTGGTCACACACACAAAATGAATCACAGATCATTTTTGTGCTTATTTGTATAGTCTAGTTATTTTCAATTTTTTTCTTATGTTACTGTTGTCTCTTGTCAGATTCCTCCTCATAAGAGTCAGGCAGGTCATATTGGTCATAACCTCCAGGTTAAGATAACTTAAAATATTATTTGGGGCAGTCTTCAAACTCAAGGATGCGTTGCGTCATGCTCTGTTCATTTATTCCCCAAGGTATCTCTGCAAAAATTAGAATTAAAAGCATAGTATTATAAATAAAGATTAAGAAAGGGTGAGTGGTTCAGACGCTCATTTTGAGAACATCTTCTCTGGCATCTTTGTTTTTTAAATTGATATTAAGGATTTTTACCTTGTAGACTCAATTCAGTTTATTGGTTTATTGGATCTCTTCCCCTGGACATCTTCCATTTCTTTCTGCTGAAGCTGTTTTGTTGAGGCTGAGGTTATTTGTGACTGTGTTTTAAAAGCATATTATGTGTCTTTTTTTTTTAAATTTACAGTACAGCTGCCTTGCATATTGAGGTTACCTTTCAGTATGTCATATAAGCAAAATATACAAGTTGTATATTGGCATATACTTTGCAGTCTACTTTGTTACAACAAACCCATTTAAACTATTACTGAGGAAAGAGCATATCAAGAAATTGACGTGAGTGAAATTCACCTCTGTATTCAAAATACTTTTCTTGAAATATATTGCAAATTCTACAACATATAGCAAAATATAGATTCTTTAACTACACACATAACATAAAACATACATGCTGTTATCTGTGGTTACCGTTCAATCACTTTTCTCATTTGTTCTGTTTCAGACGGTTCGCCATGGTTTTCCTTATCTACCCACTGCCTTAGCTTTTGACCCAGTTCAGAAAATCCTGGCAATTGGAACAAGAACAGGAGCCATACGAATGTATCCTTTCTCATTCAGAATTTGCACCATTTCTATGTATTTGTAATGCAGTGATGTGAATCATCTTCCAGAAGCACTCAGGTAAGGTTACAGTTTATATTGTTATATTCTACTTCATTTTGCTTCACCAGCTGGACTGGAAAAGGATGTGCTGTTGAGGAATTACCATTAGGTCCTTAAGGTGTCCGAAGGAAAATTTTTGGTTGAGTTTTTGGCATATGGTTTCGGTATATGCTGGTTAATATAAAGCAGAATTAAGTTTTGGTTTTCAGCATGAAAAGTAGATGCTTTTCTGTATATAAAGGTAGACTATAAAGTGGTAATGAGCAAGTTGTGAATGTTGTGCTAGCAATAAAAGTCACTGCTGCAATGCAGCTAGCCATCTGTAGGCATCTTCACTGTAGGCATCTATGTATGAGACACTGTTTAGACTTTTCCAAGTGAATGGTGGGAAATAAGTGATTTTAGGTCAGAATTAATCTCTTCCTGGAGGAGAAGGTGAAGCACTCTGAAAGTGCCTGTTTCTCCTAATTAATTATAAATGTAAATTAGTGCCAGCACTTTATGTATTTTTTTTATACAGTAGGAATTTTAAGTTAGAAGTCTACGCAGAATAAATTGAATCTAAATGTAAGGAAAATTTGAAAACTTCGTTTAAAAAAAAGATAATAGTTACATATGATGCATTTCAAAATTTTTCTCTGCATAATTTTATTAGTTTGTCATGGTTCAAATGTATTCCAATTGGGTGAAAAGAGATGTAAGGAAAAAAGAAGAAAGAATATTACAGGAAGATTTAAAAGTTACAGGATATGGAAGTAATAAACTGATATTTTTAAATGTGTTTGTAGATAAATAAATTCTGGGTTTAAAGTAGGAGACAATGCTGTATAAAATACCAATCTAATATTTTCTGGTTCTTTTGCCTACCATTGTTCCCAAGGTAACTATAAACCTAATGAACCCAAAGGCAGGTTACAGAGTAAAGAAAAATCTCTTCCTGGAGAACCAGTCTGTGCTTCATGTAACATGAATAAAACTTTGTTTCCTCCATTTTTGAAAGCTCTTGTTCTGAACAGTTGCATTTTCATAAGCCTCATTTTCTATCTGATCCAGAACTTCTCACAGGACTCAACTAAACCTCTAGTTATGCTACAAGCTTTGCTTTGATAGTTCTAGTCTTAGTATTTACCTATATGAAGTAGATTTTCTTCTCTGTAATTTAACAGACGATATTCAATCCCCTTGAATTTGTGCACTTCTGGGAAAGTGCAAGTCTAGTAGTCATGCTTTGGGTTTTTAGGAGGTATGCAAGATTAGAAAGCTGGAGCTTTATCTCTGTAAACTTCACTGATATTTTCTATGAGTGGGGGTATTAGGAATTTCATGGGTAATGTAGATGTAGGAAGACAACCTTGCAGAAGATTGGTTCCTGAGCCCACCTCTTCTTTCCATCTCAGCAACCTGGCTTTTGCAGGAGCCGTGCTGTTATTGGCCAGACTTCCTATACTTTTATAAATCCCCAGACTTCCTATACTTTTATAAATCCCCGCTTTGAGAAAAATGCAGGTACAGAGCCTGAATTAATACAGATTCCCGTAGAAATAATTTAAACCTGCAAGTCTCCTGCTACAGGAATGGAACATGCAGTGGAAAATTATCTATATCCTTAACCTTATATAAAATTCTCTATATATCTTCTATGGAAATGGATTATAAAGGGTGAGAGGGAGAAGGGAGAAGAATGTTTTTCAAGGCACACTTCCCTTTAACATCTCTTCTCCAGTTTGCTAGCAAATCCCTACCTCATTCACAGAAAATTTTCTACCAGTTCTAATATCTGAATCAAACAAGAACATCAAGATTGCCAGGGAAGTTGATATTTTTTTTTTTTTTTAAGACGTCATCTCATAACATAAATGCTTCTCAGCTCAGGCACACAGAGCCTAGTTTGCTCAATTGAGCATGGAGTTAATGGAAGCTGTGCTTGGAAGACATAGGGTGCCATAAAAGGAATTACTCATTTTAAGACTTCTCCACTTGTCTTTCAAAGGTTCACAGGACATATTACATAGAAAGCCTAGTTGTGGACTAATAACCTTGCATTTGTCTATAAGGCTGAACGGTTATACAGGGCCACACATGGAACACCACTCATTTAAGTCAGCCTTGCTGCAACCATTTATAATTGTTGAAATCAGGCAAAATTCAAGTCAAGATGTAACAGATTAGTATTACATCTGAAAATACAATTCATAATGGAATTTTTTTAAACAAACTGAAGGAAGTATATATTTTAATGGCTCTGAGTCTTCCACAGTATCCTGTAAAAACACTTTTTAACAGAGCCTCACAATTACATTCTGTGAGGAATATGTTAGGTAACAGAAAGAGAATTTGTTCCACACATACGTTGCGCTTGGCTGGCGCTTCTAAACAGTACTGTGGATGGAGTGAAAGGGCAGACTGTTTGGCTACAATCAGAGAAATGCACCCGATTATTTCTTTGCTTATTTACTGGTAGCACTAAAAGGTCCTAGTTTGGATCAGACTCTGTTGTGCTGGGCGACACAAAGGCATAGTAAGAAAGAATTTATGTTTAGTGTTCATGTAATGATGAAGAACAAGTTTTTCCGTGAGCAGTGGAAGTCACATAATGGTACTGCTGCTTCACTGTCTTTCTGAAAGATTCACAAAGTATTGGTGTTTCTATTGGTCACAAGTTAACAGGTCTCAAAAGACAAGCTGTTTCCAAAGAAAATGAAGTGTGTATTTCTGTGTTGTGAATTAATGTTTAACATCACGCCTTCAGGTGATCATTTCAAATGATCCAGCAGCAGTACTGGAATTGGCTATGCTAAATTGCCTGAAATAGAGTATATTATTCATAAGTTGCCATTAGAGTACAGAGATAAATGAAAGTTCATTTTGGTATGACAGTCAATTTGTCTTCTCCTAGATTTCTTTTCAGGCTACTTTAGATGCAATTGCTGTAGCTTCTATAGCAATGGGAATTGCTGTTGCTATGCTCTACTAATCCTGGCAGTCTCTGTGGGATTCTCAAGGAACTTCAAACAACAATGTAGGTTTTACCTACACTGATGACTGCTGGGTACTGTATCCTCATAGGGACAGCTATGCTCCAGCCCACAGAATGAGTGTGCTACAAATAGTCGATGAAAGAGCATCTTCCTATTGCCGACACAAGCCAACAAAATCTGCAAATAAAGGGCAAAACCCCCACTCTTGAAACAATTGCTGTGCTATCTGGTCATTCCTTTCCTTTGCCCTAAACACAGCAAATTTTATTTCCCCTCTGAGGACGTTTTTCCCTTTTTGAAGCCTGTTCTCAACTCCCATACCTTTGATCATTGCTTGATACCACTCTACCTGGACTATCCTTGCTTCAGGCATACACATTCAGATGAAGAAGCACTATGAAATTGAATTCCTTTTCTTATCATGACCATATCCGCTTTCTCTAGTCCTAGTCTGGAGAACATTACACGCAATAAAATGAAGTGTGCAGTCTTGGGTTACTATCAGAGAAGGTTCTGTATCACTGTACAAGGGGGTGAGCAGTTAAGAGACTTGGTCAGACTTAAGTCTCTTCCTCATTTCAGAGGAAAAAGAGAAGTCTCGGGGTTTGTTACGTCTTCAGTCTGAATAAATAGATTAAAATCAGTCTTGTTTGCAATGATTATTCCAGCAGCAGATCTGAAGAAGTGGTGTGTTGTGCTCAGATTTCAGGATACATATTTTTATACTGTTATTTATTCAGCTCACAAATACTTGATAAAATTCACTATAGGCACTTTCTGGAGTCACTGAGTCCTTTCCTTTAGACTTTTTCCATCACATCAAAGATGTGCTCAGGCAGTACAGCCACCTACTTCAAGCAACTTCAAGCATATAGTATAGAGCATCTACATATTTTTGTATTGAGCTGCTGATTATTTGGTGGTCAGCTTTAGGAAGAAATTCTGAAAGAGACCCTTTTATAGCTAAGCTATTATCATCTTTGCTTATTAAGAAATGAGAGGAAGTTTGTCTTAAATCCAGTGCAAAGAAAACAACTTACTGGGTCCAGAATGGCCTCCACACCACTGAAAGCTTATCCATCATAGAACTGGCTTAAATTAGTAATATGTCTTTGGACATGCTTTGGTGTTGTCATTAATACATTTTCGTTAGACTTGTGGGCTTCATGTTGTCATGGATGCAGGTTATGGGGCATGCAAATCTTCATTTTCACTGTTTGCTGCTTGAGCAAAAAGGTAAGCATCAGAACACATGCAAGACCTTTCTAATAGGCACAACAGCTTGCTGTATTCCAGTGTTATCAGACAATATAGTAGCCATTTTTTATCTAAGCAAACAAAATTATTCTGACTCACTAGCACATGAAAGTGGAAGTGTTGCTCTGCCTCCACCTTTTGCTTAGGTGCATGGTCCTTACACTTTCCTTGCTCTGACTCTGGTGCTCATCAGATATTTCCATAAGAAATCCCATTCACTAACTTAGCAAAATACTAGTTCTTTTCTGCTATGTTACTTTTTTGCCAGATTAGTGAACTGAATTATCTGATGCATAAGGAAACTGTAATAAGTGCATAGTTGGGCCTGGACAGAAAGGGAGATAGAGGAGAAATAGAAATCTTGGCAGTAAGGAGCAGGTTATTAGATTGACTTGTCTTACTATGTGAAAGTGCATCCCAGAAATCCAGCTATGGTAGAATGCAGTTGTCTATGAAATTTGCTAAAAAATGTAGAAATACCCTTTCAATTTTGAGTGGTGTGGAAGATAGCCTATCTTTTGCTTATGTTTAAAAAAAATCTTCTTTGTGTAAAGCCATTTGCAAATCACAAAAGTTCTACAGGCTCTGCTCAAGAGAGATTTTGCTTTAGGTTCGTATTTGGAATCATTATCCTGGCCTGTTTTATGTGTTTCTTCCAGTGTTTTGATAGCAAGGGTGATTTTTGAATGTCATACACAGTAC